TACAGCAAGTGTGTTTTGTTTTGTTTTCTCATCGAATAAGTTTGGATTTTTACAAAATTGTGGGTTGGGTTAGGTTAGCCGATGAAAATGCGTTGCATGCAGCATAACAAATAAAATGCATTTCGTATGTGTCCAGCGGCGTCTAAATGCTAATTAGGAGTATTAAAGTACATAATGAGAAAACAAAAAATAGTAGAAGGGAGAAGAACTATGTACACAATGAGGGATTATGAAAAATTGATGTGAGAAGAGATGTGATTAAGAAACATTTAGCCTTAACAACTGATAAATGATAAGTAGGTAATGGAAAAGCAACGTTAATTGCAATACATCCAGCACAACAACAACATATGATGACGACGACAACAACAGCAGCAGCAGCAACAGCAGCTGTAGCAAGTCTACATCTTGTTGATGCTGCTGCTGCTGCTGTTGCTAGTGTTGCCCAAAGACTCTGCGCTGCAGATGTGGGCGGTGGTGTTACGGTGCGTGTATAGACTGTAATAGTGAAGCCCACTGACTGAGAGCGGCGAGCGGAGAGTATTTGTGACATGGATAGGCTATTGCTATCGCCGTTTGATTTAGTTGTTGTTGTCGTTGTTGTTGCTGTGCTGGGATTGCTGCAGCTGCTGTTGTCGCTGTTGTCGTCGTAGCTGCCACTGGTGACGGCAACAAAGTTGTTGCTACGCAAGCTGACCATAACAACCCGACTTAAGGTGCATGGCATGCTCAAGCACATGGGGAAAGAATGCGCAAGGCTCTTCAATGTCAAAGTGTATACCAAATGTGTGTTGTACCTCACGCATTTTGAAGAAGGCCATGCCCGTTAGTAGCGCATCCGAAACCGGCCTGATGTTTGTGGACCGACGCGTCGCAGCTCCAGCTGATCGGCCACTTCCTGCAGACCGCCCTTCAGATTCTTGCACGACTTCATCAAGTATTTGATATCAAAAATGTTGGGGAAATAGATATGCAGCAGCTCAAAGAAATCGCTCTCATCGGCGGGTAGATTCTGATCGGTGAGCAGCTTAAGCAGATATCCAAAATCGTAGCCGGAGTGAAAGCAAAGCCATTTGATATTATCCATCAGCACAATGCCCGAGCTCATGAGCAGCTCGGCGAAATCAATTGGGTCAATGCCATCCTCTTCATGCTTCTTAAATTGAATGCCCGAATTCTGAAGCAAATCGATCGAGTCTTGCGCGTACATATCCTCGCTACAAAGAGTACCAGAGTTAAGTACGTTATATCGTTCGCATACACCAACACGACAGAAGCTCACCTTAGATTGAATTTAAAATTGAATTGCCATGTGGAGTAGCCCGGCGGCGTTTTGCCATCATCATCCATAAATGTAAGTCCCAGCTGTATAATCCTTAGTAAGTCAACATTGCATCGCAGCAATTGATAATGATAATCGGCGGTGGAACGAAATTCGCCAACGGGTCGCGCTACAACGCCTGGGAATTCTGTGTCCATGGCAACAAAATGATACTTCTGCACTACCTTACGTATGGTACGAAATTCCTCCTCCAGATTATGTTTCCACACGTCCCGTATGCCGCACTCCTCGTTGCTGGGTATATGCACCTGGCCATGCGCGCCGCCGCTGATGGCCGATGGCATTGTCTGTGAATGGTTAAGCTTTGTATAACACCTTTTGAAAAATATATATATCGTGAAAATATGTGAATGTTGGTGTGTTGCGGTTGTTGGAGCCCATTTGAATGATTCGTATGATTAAGAATTCCTCACAGCCATTTGTCTTCATTCGAATTCTTTTATTTTTTTTTGTTTCTTTCACAATATATATACATATATACATATATTTTTAAATATATGTATTATATATATATATATATGTATATATATCATATTTTCAAAATTATAGACAAAGAAGTCTCTGGCCCTATATACTTAAAATATACATACAAGTTATTCATAAGCATAATCAACAGACGACTCGATCTCTCGACATCGTTTCATACGTTCGTAAGTTCTATTCGAAACCTGACAAAAACGTAGGTTCTGCAGTATGTAAAGCGAAGCGGTACGTCGCTGAGTATAATATCTAGCATATCGACAAGTAGATTTTGCGCGATTAGTGGAAGTCTTTTCTTCCTCGACTAGACTTTTTTTGTATAAAAATTAATTGTGGAATCTTTTTTCAGGCATAAAACGGAAACTGGAAAATGTATCTTGACTCCTTGCTGAAGAGCTTGGATAGACTTTAAGAATACTTTATTGTTTGGTTTCTCTCTAGCTAATACAGTTATATAAAAATTTCCCACACATAAATTTCGTTGTTGACTATCTTTAAAATATACGATTATCATATGGTTCAACAGGGCTCCATTTGAGTGTATTTATTTATGTGTATATATAGATGTGTCCATATAGAAATTTCATAAATAGGATGTTAGCAACATAAAGATATACGAAGTAGCCAGGCCAATTGGTAAACACAGTCGGAATCAAAGAAATTGGTTTTTTTTTTTGTTTTTGTTGGTTTTTTTTTGGTGCGAATAGTTATTGAAAAACTTTTGCCAATTCTGCAGTTAGAAAGGTGCTAAAAATTTTGCTCGCTGCTAAAGAAAACAAATACACATAAAATTAAAATGGCAAAAGAGAAATTTAATTGATTGTTTTTTTTTTTTTTAAGGATTGGTTTACTTTGTGATTGGGAGTTACTTGGGCGCTACTTACATCGTCGACGGTCGCCGTCTGTTGCTGCCGCTGCAGAGCCGCTTCAGCCACCTTCTCACCAAAGTTAACCTTAAGCTATGTATAAGTATTTTTTTTTTCTTTTTTTCTTTTTTTTTTCGTGTGTGTTTGTTTAATATATAGTTTGAATTTAGTTCTCTGAGCTGTTTATTGTGCTCACAGCATTGCCTGTAAGAGAACGTTAAGTAACGTTGACTTCAAGGCTAGCGAAATTTGAATACTTAAACAACTGTTATTTGTAATCAATATAGAAAGGTAATAAAAACGAACATTTATTAAGATTTGGTAATCTCTCTTGCTAATCCTCTCATAGACAAAGAATCCAAATAAATAATCCAATCAAATTGCCATCTCTTCCCATCATGCTCTCTCGCTTCAATTTGACATTTCTCTCAGCGAGAGTGAAAGGAATAGAGAAAGAACTTACAAGTGTCAATACACTATTAGAGATGACACTCCGATATGTGCGTATATGTACGTATGTATATGCATGAAAGGCATTTTGGGCACTTGCTTGCATACCGCCTGCATGGGGTGCGGTTAAAGGTCATGTGATTTGCATTTGCAAAATAATGGCGACACATAAATCACAAAAAAGAGATAAAAAAAACAGAAGACGTTTAGCAGCACAATTTAAACTGGGGCACGACTGAATGGGCGACAATTTTTTGCCGCGCTTTAAATTGCAACCGCCTTTTTTATATTACACACTGTTTACATAGACGTATGTGTATGAGACAGCCAAGCGCACACAGATGTATATATGCATAAGTGATTGTAATCAACACACGCATATGGAGAAAATGTGTGCAGTTGAACATGAAAATCGAAGGCCGCCACCGTTGTAACAAGGAAGCCCTTATGCCTGCCAATGGCCTAAAAAATAAGTGATTTGGCATTACCTTGCCTCTGGAAACTTACCCATTTCATAGTATGCTTGTTATTTTACAAAATGCTTTTTTGGCTGCTGCTGCCGAATGAATTTCACTTTTCGGGCTTTCGGGCTTTCGGGCTTAATATATTTTTGTATCGCTGCAGTTAGCGCTAAGACGTTTTGCGGCTTTTGAGAATGGTAACCGAAATGAAGTCCGGTATTAGAGCGACGACTGTGGCGTTAAATAAATTAATTGGCGTGAATGTTGTTTATGTTAAAGTGCCATAATGAAAGAAATGAATCTGTGATAGTGTTAAAAACAGCGCAATGTTTCTAGTGTTGCACAACGAGAAACCAAGAGACAAAAACCTGGGCTGCACAATAACTTGTGGCTCTTTTTTTGGAATTTTGTTTAGCTATGTCTTACTGTGAATAAGTATTTAAAATAAACAAACAAAAATATTTTCATTATCAATGACTTACTAGGTTTAATTTTACTATAACTTTCGTTGTTTATTTTAAATGCCTTACAATTTCAATCATGTCAAATAGATGGCGCTGCTGTCTGTGGCTGAGCTGGCAATGCTTCACAAACAGCTGTTTTATTTTTTATGCGCAATACGTAGGTCGTTACAGAATTTGTTAAGTATATTGAAAATAAAACGTTACTTAATAAGTGAGTAAGATGTGCAATTTTAGTATTTTCATATAGGGATTATGTCACATAAATGCTTTTGGCTAAATTATAGATCCTCATGTGTAGTGAGTGAGCAGCGTACCTATCTTAACCCATGCATTCAGTAGGGAATTAGATACCACAGCGCTTTGTTGCCGGCAGCTACTGCGCCCAGTTTCATAGTTGTTTTGAAAGCAATAAGTAAGTGTTAAATATGGGAAACTTAAACAAGTGTACACTTAATTTGAAATAAATGATTTGCTAAGTGTATGATTTTAATGCTGAGTTTTCATGTCCGCGTCATCAGTGAGTAATTTCTTAGCATCTTTCACTTGGCCTAATTTTTTGGTATTGTTGACAGTAAACTGTTTAAGCGAAAGAGATGCTTGTAGTGTTGTTAAATACTGTTTTTCCACTTTTGCACATAGTCAATTGAGACGAATTGATTGACTCTCTGCTTTTCGTTTGTTGCTTATGTGCCTCAACCAAAACTAGTTTTCTCTTATCTTGCCAATTTCAAGCAATCAATTGGGCATTGACATGCGAGTGAGAGCTTTAGCGGTTAAAAAAGGCGGGCGTTCCATTGAGCCACACACACATGCATACACCCATTTACATGAAGACACTTGTTCAATTGTCTTGTAAATAGTGTGATAATAATGTGTCTGAAATGTGTCTTGATGTGGCATTAACCTAGAGCTGAGAACTATTTACGAAAATGTTTAAATCAATTATATTATGACCCTCATATATATATCATTTAATATAACATAGGATATAGGAATGCTTCTGGCTTCAATAATGAAAACAATAATCAAATAAAAAATAACCATAAAAAAAAAAACAAAAATAAATAATGAAAAATAAACAATATAATAATAATAATAGATTAAGTATTAAAGCAATTAAAGAATAAATAATATTAAACAATAATAAACAAATAATAAAATTTAATTTATAAAACAATATTTTAACTAACATCATTACAACAATTTTTTTAGTTTTATTATTAATAAAAAATAAAGTATAATAAAAAATAATATTATAAGACTGATGACATTGATCAATAAAATCAACACTTAAATAAAATAAATTATTAATAAACAATTAGAAAATAAATAAAAAATAAGCTGCTTTCAGCCACTCCTTGAACTCAAGTTTCGATACATTTATATATTAAATAAGTAAAGTTCTTATCGCGTGTAGCTCGTTTCTGATTATGAATGCAAATAGTTTCGTAATATAACAGGGGCGACTCATAGAGTATACCAAAGTTCTAAATAGAAACTCTAATCAACTAAAGTCAAGGTAATATTTTGCCTATAATTATATTTATGATTAAGTAAATAAAACTGAAATTTTAGTTCAACTGGTAGACGTATGTGTTTGCACTATATATACAAGTATATTCATACATATATATATATATACTATGTATGTAGTACAATGTGAATTTGATCGTTCGCACGACGATCACGTTCTGTGTCGCACTCTTATTAAATGAATTGAGTCGAATCGTGTGACATAAACAATTTCTGCACGCGATCGATGATTGCATTGAAACATTGTCAGTCGCCGAGCAGCTGTCGAGTCATTCTGATCGCTCTCTCAACTTGTTATCAATTTCTTGTATAAATTTCACCGAATTTTAGATTTTGTAGTTTGGTCTAACGTTGTGCAACGTGTTTATATTCCCAAGGTACATTTGTGCAAACATTTCTGTTTTTAAATTTGAAAAAAAAGACGGCCAATGGGATTTTAAGAAATATGTAAGAGTGTTGCAGCTCGTGCTAACAACGTATCTTCCCATTTTAAGCTAAATTTGTTATTGGGTTTTGTAATTAAATTTGAATTAATCTTTTGTTGAATTGATGAGAATTGCATAGAAAGGAGTGGAAGGACGGATCACAAGCAAGTATAAGAGAAGGAGGGTAAGATAGGGAAGAGGGTAAGATAGGAAAATAACGAAGGAGAGATAATGATAAAGAAAGAACTTGGGAGAGAGTGAGAGAAAGCGAGAGATAGAGAGAGAGAGAGAGAGAGAGCGAGAGAGAAAGCGAGAGAGAAAGAGAGAGAGCGAGACAGAAAGAGAGTGACATAGAGGTAGATCATAAAAAAAAAGAGAGGTAGACGTACATAGATAGATAGAGAGAGAGACATATATGTATAGATTTCTCTCTATACATATATAGAGAGAGAAATCTAGAGAGAGAGAGAGAAGTAGAGAGAGAAGTAAATATAAAGATGTTGATAGAGATAGAAAGGGAGGGCTTAATATAAAGTGAGATAGATAAATAGAGAGATATATAGATATAAATGGATATAAATAGAGAGACAAAGAGGGAGACACAGAGAAAGAAAATGAAACAATACATTTTAGCTTAATAATTGTTTAAAAAAGACGAAAATAATATAAAATGTATTTGTTTTTATCATAATACAGAGAATTGTTAAAATACTCTGAATATTATTTTTAATTTCATAATACCTAGTTTAATATTTCAATGGTCCAGAGAATTCAGTAGTCTAAACAGTTGTCGACAATATGTATTATGTATCTAGACTGGGAAGGCTAGACTGTATTTCAATTATATTTAATTGAATTATTGAGAATTGCACAGAAGGGCGATAGCGGTTGGAAGAGTGAGATAGATTGATTCATGAAATTTAAGAGTGTGTAGCAGTATGAGCATTAGTGAATAATACAGCTTGTTTATATGAATTAACATCAATAATTATGTTATGTAAGTATCAGGTAAACGAAATTTGTAAGTCATGAAAATCGCATTAATGACGAATCGGTTTTTAGAATACTATATAGTACAATATATAGTCAAAAATGTGTATTCATAAAGTATCTAAACGATTAAGAACGTGAAACATAATTAATTAAAATATCTTTGAACATTTTTGCAGATAGCTCAAGATGCCTTTAAAGAGCTTGAGTGTTTTGCTGCCGGGCTTGAAGTGGCTGCAAGGATATACGGCACAGGATGCGGTGGCTGATCTGATAGCGGGCATTACGGTGGGTTTGACGGTGCTGCCACAGGGCTTGGCCTATGCGACGCTGGCGGGCTTGGAGCCGCAATATGGCCTCTATTCCGCATTCGTGGGCGGCATTGTGTACGCTTTGTTGGGCAGCTGTCGCCAGGTCACAATCGGACCGACAGCATTGCTGGCTCTCATGACCAGCCGCCACACGGGCTTTGGCTTGGACTCGGGTCCAGCTTATGGCATACTCTTATGCCTGATCTCAGGCATTGTGGAGCTGGCAATGGCTGTGCTCAAGTTGGGCGCCCTGGTGGACCTCATTTCGTTGCCTGTTACCGTGGGCTTCACCTCGGCAACGGCCGTCATCATTGGCACCTCGCAGCTGAAGGGTTTGTTGGGCTTGCGTGGTGGCTCTGGTTCGGATTTCCTGAATACCATGCGCTCCGTCTTTGGCAATCTGCAGCAGGTGCGCCGTGGAGATCTGACACTGGGACTGGTCTCCATTTTTGTGCTCTTGCTGCTGCGAGTGAGTCGTTTATACAATTCTAATTGTGAGCTCTAACCTTTAACACGTTTATCTTACAGAGGTTGAAGAACGTCAAGCTGGCAAACCGCGTGAGAAACTTGCGGGCTCAGCAGCTGCTTAGCGGCAGCATTTGGGTTGTATGCACCGGACGGAATGCACTCGTAGTGCTAATCTCCAGTGGCCTGGCGTACAGCCAATGCAGGCAGCAGGAGAGCTGTCCATTCATACTCACGGGCAAGGTGAAGAGTGGCTTGCCAAGTTTGGCGCTGCCCGAATTCGAGACAACAATACTCGGCAAAAATGGCACTGAGGAACGACAGGACTTTGAGGATATGGTAAGCTAAGCAGTTGGTATAGATCACAGCTCGTCATACTTAATATATTTCGTCTATCATTGCAGCTTTCGGAACTGGGACCCTCGATGCTGATCTTGCCCATAATTGCTGTGCTTGGCAATGTGGCCATTTCTAAGGCCTTTGGCGGCGCTGGATTGAGTCCCACGCGCGAGCTTGTTGCACTCTCCCTGAGCAACATTTGCGGCGCTTTTTGCAGCTCGATGCCAGTGACAGGCTCCTTTTCACGCAGCGCTGTCAATCATGCGAGTGGCGTTCGCACGCCCATTGGCGGCTGCTATACGAGTCTACTAGTGCTTCTGGCCTTGGGTCTGCTGGCTCCTTACTTTCAGTACATACCCAAGGCGGCGTTGAGTGCTGTCATCATTTCGGCTGTGATATTTATGATTGAGTTTGAGGTCATTCGGCCGCTGTGGCGCTGCAGCCGACGTGAATTGCTGCCGGGTGCTATTACCTTTGTCATGAGCTTGGCAGTGGGCGTGGAGATCGGCTTGCTGCTTGGTGTTGGCTCAGATGTGGCCTTTCTCGTTTATCGCGCAGCACGACCCGTGCTTACTGTATCCAAATTGCAGACAATCAATGGCATTAGCTACATCCTGATCAGGCCCAAGCATAGCTCGCTGTATTTCCCTGCCATCGAATGGGTTCGCTCTGGCATCTCTAAGGCGCTGTCCACGCACGGCACAGCACCCGTTGTCCTGGACTGCGCTCAAGTTCATGGTACACCATTGAGACTACATTTTTGTATACCATTCACTAAAATCTTTCATGTTTTCGTCTTAGATTTTGATTTCACAGCCGCACGCGGCATGGGTAATCTGCACAAGGAGCTGGCCAAGGCGAATGTACCGCTGTTTCTTATGAGCGCTGACAAGGATATTAGCGTCATACTGAAAGAGTCGACAAACATTGTTTTTCCCACAATAGATTGCCCCAACGATCTGGAGTTCATTCTCGAGCAGAGTAAGCAACGCTTAATCGATTATATAGATAGATAATAATGCGTCAAATTTTCTACTCTTGCAGCACCTAATTACGAGCTGCATTTACAAGTTACTGCGCCGCTGGTAGAGTCGAACGGCGACGACAAAGTAACTGAACTGAGCACACTGAGTGCAAAAAGTACATGAACATATCGCAGCTTCGATTACAAACAGAATTGTTGACAACGCACACAGCTACAGCTACAGCTAAAGCTACAATTCAATACTCTTCCATAGCAGCTGATTTTTACCTCTATTCCTAGGCTTTAACCAAGTTTCAGCTACGTTTCTAACTGCTGAACATCTCACTTGTTCAATGTCATTCCTATTTATACCCCAATCGAATAACTTATTGTAAATTGTAAATATTAATAATGTTTTCTATGTTCAATTAGCTTAAGTTACGTTAGATTTTAGTTGCATCACTTACGGGTTACTTCATTACAAATCAAAAAAGAGAGAGAAAAATTAGATAGATTATGCAATAAATATATATCAATATATGAATTCATTACATAAAAGAATTGATTAAGACACTATTTAATTATGTCTGTTTGCAGCTAAAATGCTGTCACATACTTTACACAATTGGCAGAACGGCATAGCTGGCCACCTGACACATATTGCCGTGGTTGCGGGCCAAGCGCATGTAGCCCTCCTCTCCCCAGCCACCCCAGGAGTTCTTGATTAGCCAAAAGTCCTGGCCGTAACCAACGGCCAGCATGGCATGATTAACATGTTGGCCACAGGAAGGGTCGTTGAAGATGCCGCCCCGATAATGCTGGAATCTGCTTGCATCGACTGCTACCGAAACAGGACCCTTTTCTGCGACAACTTGAGCCAATACATTTTCATCGCGTCGCACTTGTGCCACTCGTGAGACTGTGGCTCCAATGCTTGAGCGACGGAAACGACAGTTTCCAACGTAGCCCTCATACGGATATGCCTGTTCATTGTCCACGCCTCTATTATCCTCCACATATTTTAAAGCACGTGACGGCCAGCCGCCGCGGCAGCCATAATTTTGATACCGCGCGGAGCAGTCCATTAAATTTTGTTCGGATAGCGGAATCAATTGCTTGCTCTTTAGAAAGTGCTGACCCTCCAGAGTGCCCGCAGCGGAAAATGCCCAACAAGAGCCGCATTTCCCTTGATTCTTCACTGCGGTAACAGCGCCCTTTGCACGCCAGTCTATCTCGTGGGGTATGTCAATGTTATGAGGCGCATAGATGAAGTCAATGCTGGAGGCAAAATCAGAGGTGTTCATATTTGACAGCATTATTTCCTGGAACTCCTCTGCCAGCATATCTGAGAATTGGTTGATGCCCATCATGTAGGTCTCCTCGCCTCTGGCATAGCGTGCGTTGTGCTCGTCGATGGTTTCTTTGTTGCGCTTAAAGATCTGGCTGCGCAGCTTCTCTTCGTAGCTGTTCTCGTAGCTCCTCTCATAGTCCACCTTGAAGGACTCAAACTCGACAGCAAGCACATCGTAGTTGAGTGCCTTACAGTATGCCACGGCTAGGACGACTACCAAGAAAACAATCGACTTCATCTTCAGCTTTGAGTCTTGAACAATGAAGCCAGCTTGGAAAGGTTTACTCCTTTATATATACCCATTATGTCCCGTATAATGTAATTTGCCCGTATCGAAATTACATTTGAATTTATTTGTGTGGCTAAGCGTTTATTATTGTTATACTCGTCCACGAAACAAAAAGAGAATATTGGCTGGGTGCAATGTCCTCTTCGCTGCCCGTTCGGAAATCCCTTAGATAAAAAGGATGTAGATAATTTTATATCTATTATATTAATACTAATGCCAATATTTGAGAAGCTACTATTCACCCTCTCTAAAGATTGGCCATATTAGAAATATATATAAATATATCTCAATCGACTTACAGATAGCTCTGCTTAATGTTAGCCTGGCCTATTAAAAAATATTTTTTTTTAAATAATAAAATAAAAAATTAAAAAATAAATTTTGTTATTTTTGGGATCTAAACGAGTATTATGCGGTCGGTTGCACCCGATTACAACGTTTTTAATGGTTTCTGATCAGTTTTTAGGTTTGTCAGGGGTGTTTGGCTTTACTATTTTTCAATATATATATATATTATATATTGAAAAAATATATATATAAACTAATCATCATAACGAGAATGGATAGCAACAGTAACATAAACGTCGATGTATGAATGATTTATTATTTTTTAATAAGTAATAATAGTATTATTATTATTCTACAAATGTGTACAAAAGACAAAACAATTTGTGCCCTATTTTTAGCAATGCAATAAAAATATTAAATAATTTTTATATATTTCCGCTTCTTTATTGTATTAATTTGAAAAACTTTAAAAGCCTTAATAAGTCTCAATGAGCCCTTCTTACTGGATTCTTAATTACTAATGCATTTTATATCACTCAACATTTTGATTCATGCCATTTCAAAAGCCTATTTAATTAACGCTGATTAATGAAATCTAAAAAGTTAGTCATATGCTGGTTTGTTTAATTTGATATGAATCGATGTCTATATATAATAAACACTCAATTTTATTCCAAATCCGACATGGACTGAGACACTGAGAAAAGTTTTGAACTTGAGGCTAAGATGGGTTACTTTAATTGCTGCCATGTCCTTCAGACAATGGGCAGAATGGCATAGCTGGCCACCTGACACATATTGCCGTGGTTGCGGGCCAAGCGCATGTAGCCCTCTTCTCCCCAGCGACCCCAGGAGTTCTTGAGCAGCCAAAAGTCGCCGCCACGCTGGTCGTGGCCGTAACCAACTGCCAGCATGGCATGATTCACGGGATCGCCACAGATCGGATCGTTGAAGACGCCGCTCCGATAATGCTGTAATCTCCTTGCATCGACTGCTACCGAAACAGGACCCTTTTCTGCGACAACTTGGGCCAATGCATTTTCATCGCGTCGCACTTGTGCCACTCGTGAGACTGTGGCTCCAATGCTTGAACGACGGAAACGACATTCTCCAACGTGGCCCTCATATGGATATGCCTGATCATTGTCCAAGCCTCTATTATCCTCCACATATTTTAAAGCATGTGACGGCCAGCCGCCGCGGCAGCCATAATTTTGATACCGCGCGGAGCAGTCCATTAAATTTTGTTCGGATAGCGGTATCAATTGCTTTGTCCTTATAAAGTGCTGCCCCTCCAGAGCACCTGTAGCAGAGAACGCCCAACAGGATCTGCATTCACCCTGATTTTTCACTGCGGTAACAGCGCCCTTTGCACGCCAGTCTATCTCGTGGGGTATGTCAATGTTATGAGGCGCATAGATGAAGTCAATGCTGGAGGCAAATTCAGAGGTGTTCACATTTGACAGCATCATTTCCTGGAACTCCTCTGCCAGCATATCTGAGAATTGGTTGATGCCCATCATGTAAGTCTCCTCGCCTCTGGCATAGCGTGCGTTGTGCTCGTCGATGGTTTCTTTGTTGCGCTTAAAGATCTGGCTGCGCAGCTTCTCTTCGTAGCTGTTCTCGTAGCTCTTCTCATAGTCCATCTTGAAGAATTCAAACTCGGCAGCAAGCACATCCTCGTAGTTGAGCGTCTGATTGGATGCCACGACTAGCGCGATCAACAAGAACACAACCGACTTCATATTTAAGTGTTAAACACTGATACCAGTCCGCAAAGTTTCGCTACTTTAAATACTCTTATCATGCCACGAATTGGTATATTTCCCTCATAAATTTGTGTGGCTGTGGTTATATAATGATGACGTTTCATATATAACATGCGTTCATTTTATTAACTCTTAAATTGAAAACATAAAATGAGTCTTTTCTAAGCACAAAAAGTTTCACATTCTGAGCTAAAAGAATTACGTGCATCTATCAAGTTATAGCAAAAAATGTTGCATACTCTGGGGCGCAATAAATTTTCTAAAAATATTCATTCAATTTCTATTTGCTATTCTTAATAATTCAAGACATTTATAATCCCTTGGAAATTTTTAAATGCTATTGTAATTGATTTAAATATTGTTTAATTAAATATTGAATTAATATATTTATATATTATATAGAAATATTAATAATATTTTTATTAGAATTTCATTGATTCATATTTAATTTCCTATAAAATATAAATATAATAATTTGTTAATATTGCAATCTGAAATTTTATTTTCCAGTTTTGCCGATAATAAAACTATGAAGAAAATGTATTAAATATAAATCATATAGTAAATAAAATACCAAATCTCTCGAATGCTACTTTCCCAGCATAATTAATCACGAGAACAAATCAAAGACGAAATTTCAGATAAGTTGCCATCGGGAATGTGTCACAAATCATTTGCCCCTCGAAGGCCACCCCACCTTTTCGGTGGAGGAAAGTGGAAATGATATTAGTGAAGTCGTTGATAAATAGAAAGCCACACAGAGATTGAAACAGTTGCTTGGAAAAATCAAAGACGAGAGCAACGAATCTAGTTTCCCCAAAAACAACAGCCACTGAAGCAAAACCTGGTCTCGTGTAATACAATCCGTGCGTAACTGCAATTACTTAGTACGTTCCGTGTGTCGCTGTGTATCTTTGTATCTTTGTATCTTTGTATCTGTCGGATGCAGGCGCAAGAGGTGAACAAACTCTGCTGCGCATGCGTCGCCCGTCTTGTGGTTTCTTCCCAATGCTCAACACCCTACCTATATAATATGAAATATTTGTGTCCATTTCCGTCCGTACGACAACTCCTGTTGCTGAGTTCAATGAACTTTGCACGAATCCTGACATCCACAGAGACTTGTTGCCACTGGCACAGTGGGTACAGTTGCTTAGCTGTCGAAGAGTTTGTCGTTCCGTTGTTTACTGGAGTTCTGTTTATAAAAAATTGATGCTATTAATTGAAAAACATATTGTATATAAGTACATTTATTTTTGGAGTCTGCAAAATATGTTTAGCTGTATCTATTGAATAGTCTGCAAAATATGTTTAGATGTATCTATTGCATCGGCTAACTAGTCTCATCTTATTCAATTAATGAGCTTATAGTGACATAGTGATATGGAGTGTAAAGGAGCTTAGCTCACGTATAATTGAATTTTGAATATTTTTGTATAAAATAATTTGGAAAGTGTCTCTCTATGTCTATCTAAAATTTAAAAAACAAGCAATATGTTTAATGATTACTTTCAGGAATTTCAGATTTATTCTCTTGTTTTCAAGTTGATATATAAATAAGTTGGAAAAATCTTTAGAAAATATTTAAGTTTATTCAGAGCTAAAGCCATTTAGAGACATCAAATATTGCATACCAGATCTGTGTTTTGACAAAGATATGAGACTCGTGGAGAACATTTAAGGGCAAGCTTATAAGATCTATTACTGCCTAAGTTTTTGAAAGTGATTTGTCATTGGTCATACTAAATTTTTATATATCACTTACAAAAACTTTGACTTCTATACTTCTGTAAAGAGACTCGTCGTCAGAGAATGAAGAAAATCGGGATTTGCATATTTCCGAGCTCTTTCGAAATAGACAGACAGAGCGTCTGCTGAGGTAAGGAATCTAACAGCAAAGTGACGGACCCGCGTCGACTGCACGTCCGATACGGCTGGTACTATTTTTAGATGCCTTTCGTCTTCGCCTTCGTCTTCGTGCTGCTCTGACTTCTCCTTGTCTTCGTCTAGTTAGGAGCCGAGGGTCTCTTGTTGCCGAGGGCTGATGCTTTGGGCTGTTCACAGTGTTCACAGCTCGAGCATCGATTCAATTGCATTCCAACGCGCGTTCGGTATAGAGAGAGAGAAACAGATACGGCAGCCAATTCGAAACGGATATAGATATAGATATACGTATACGATTTCAAATATGAATGCTGTGCCTTGGATTATCAGTGAATGTGTCTACGAAATTTAAGCATTAGTGATAAACAATTGTGCTCGGTTCCTATCAAAACATACCAAAAATATCAAAAAGGATAACTCACATAAATATATATACAAAATTAGTGTTAAAACTCATATTATAAAGCTCTTAATGCACAAATTTACAACTGCGGGGACTTTGGAATTTACTTTATTTCGAAAAGATAACTAAGAAGAAAAAATCGTTTTAAAATAAAATATAGCTATAAAGGTGTGTATGAAAAATTGTTGCATTATTTAATTAAGTATAACATTTAACTTTATATGTTTAATTAATGCCACTTATATTTATAAAATATTTTTTTGTCAAATAATATATTCATATTCATTAAATATTTGAATAATCTAATATATATTCTAAATATTAAAAAAAACTTCAATTTTTAATTTATGAACAAATATTAAAAACATCAAAATTAAAAAAAAAATTATTTAAATCTGTTTAAAATAAGAATTTTCGATGGATTAAGTTATTAAAATATTATTGATATTTATTAATAAAAATCAGTTAAAAATACATTTTTAAAGTATAAAAAGAAATATTATTTAATTTTATAAATATTTCAAATAAATCATAAAATATTTAAATTGAATTAAAAGAATTATAGTAATAAATCAGAGATCACATAAAACTAAAGCTTATGAAAGTGTTTATAATTTTTATGAAAATATAAATTAAGAACAAAATTTTAATTAAAATAAATTTTAATCAAATTACAATTTTTGACACTAGATCGATGTATATAAAAATACTCTGCATTATTTAAGTTTACCCTATATCATAAATGTATACCCTATATCAATTAAGTATACCCTACATTGATAGCTTCTACTTGAGTTGCCTTTCCCCCTGGTAAATGAGTAATGCGAATGTAATTTGATGTCAGGGCTGGTTGACAGAATTAGCATGCCTCTTCCATGTTGCATCAAATGCTGCAAGCATACCAAATATAGCGCCAATGAGTGACCACATCCCAAAGCATTTAAGTGCCAATGTCTGGAACAAAAACAGCTTCAATTTAAATTGGAAAATACGACTGAAATATGTCGCCGGCAGCTCCCCTTTCCACTTTTTCATTTCACTTTCCACAAGAGAAAAGAACAAACGACAAAAAAATCGAAAAAAAAACAATAAAGAAAAACTAAGGAAAAACGTAAACATCAAGCAAAAGAGTGAACGCAGCACAAGTTCAAGATTCTCTCACAGTTAGAGTCGGAGTCGGGGGGCTCCCAGCAGCTAAAAGTAGAAACACACGACGAGACGACGCAATAAACTGAATGCCGAAAGTAGTTTAATGCAGTTTGCTGGGGATCCTTGACTTTTGCTGCTGCGGCTGCTGCTGCTGTTCCCAACTGTTCCCCGATGCATTTTCCCGCTTTGGCGCACGACAACAACAACAAAGAAAATGCATAGCTGCGTTTAGGTCCTCTGCCTATGAGCATTGCCGATCCAGTTCCCGTTCCCGAGCCGATAGTTTGCTTGATCTATTTTTGGCCTAGCCAAGCCCAGCATTGTCTTGTCGCCTCGAGTAATTTGTTTGCTGCGCTAGTGTTTGTATGAAGCGTACACTGAAGAAAATAGTTTTTTTTTTTTTTTTAGGCAATATATTTATTTCTTTATTTTGTTGCAGCTTATTGTCTTAGACTCTATAGCGCATTTAGCTCTAAACCTTAACTAATGGGAGGGCAGATATGCCAATTATTCTGCACTTGTAGCTACTATCTTAATTAGTTCTAATATTGTCTAGAGGATGCAATCTCTTCAGTCTTCGCCTATTGTTGTTTATAGCCAGGTTGCTTGCGAGATGGTTAGGATGCGCTGCAAGTCTGTCCGCGTATCTTGAACTGTGTCGCCCAATGAGTTCAGCAACTGTGGGAATTGCTAAATCCCTATGTAAGACTGAGTTTCTTACAAACCAGCTGGCTCCAGTCCATCTGCGTAGTGCTTTATTCTGCAGGGTCTGAATTTTGTTCCTTGTAGTCTTCGCCGAGGAGCCCCATAGAGAGATACCATATACGAAGGTTGGGACAACTATTGCCTTGTAGATGGCGGCCTTGCTGCTGTAAGACAACTTGCTTGAAGCTCTCAGCATCCAGTCGAGGGTTTTTAGCTTGCTTTTGCATTTTGAGGTTACTTGACTTATGTGCGCTTTAAAAGTCAGCCTTCTGTCAAGAGTGATACCAAGGTACTTTACTTTTGAGGCTTTGGGAATAGTGGGCCCCAATGCAACGCTTGGGCAATCTCCTCTTCTAGTGGCGAAGGTAGTATGTACAGACTTTTGTGCATTAATGGTGATACACCACCGTTTTGCCCAGCGTCCGAAAGAGTCCAGATATTTTTGTAGTGAGTCTGAAGCTTCTTGCGCAGATACGTGACGTGATAAGATGGCGGTGTCATCTGCATAGGTCGCTATGAGTACTGCATCTGTACTTCCTATATTTGGCTCGGGAGTTGGCATATCTCCTGTGAATAAAGTATAAAGTGTTGGGCCTAGAACACTACCCTGTGGTACTCCAGCCATAATTGGTCTAGTCAAGGATACTGTTTGCCCCCTTGACACTTGGAAGGTTCTTCCAATAAGGTATGAGGATAGCAACGCGAAAAATGGGGCTGGAAGGGTGGTCCTCACTTTCTGCAGCAGTCCCAGGTGCCAAACTCGATCAAACGCCTGTTTGATGTCTAAAAAGACGGCAGAGCAGTACATCTTTTCTTCAAAGGCTCCAAGGATATG